CTCGTCCCCCACGTCCCTCCAACCCAACCCCAACCCCAAAGCGGGGCACTCACGGCAGCGCGGCAGCAGCGAAGCAGCCGATGGAGATCAGCCCCAGCAGCGCGCTGCCCACATCGCGCCCGTCCCGTGCGCACTCGCCCAGCAGCCGCAGCACCCAGCGGGCGCCGTCGGGGCAGTCGGAGCCGTTGCCGGGTGGAGGCGATGCCCAGAGCCCCTCCGCCATGGGGAAATGGAGGATATGGGGAGAAAAGGAGATAACGCCTGGAAGAACATTTATACGTGACGGTCACGGAGCGGCCCAACCCAGCTGCACTTGGTTCTAACGGAGCCCAAACAGCACCGTCACCCCCTTACCTCGCTCGCTGCTTTTTGTCTGTTTTTTTTTTTTTAAGGGGAAAAAGATACTTTTTGAGAAATCTGCTGCTTTCCAGAAGTTGGGGTGTTGTTTTTTTTTTTTTGTTGTTGTTGTTTGTCTTTCTTTTTCTTTCTGGAAGTTCCGCTCTCCCCAGAAGCGCGCTGATTCCTTACAAACCGCCGGCTTTCCGGGCCAAACTGCGGCGTTCCGCCAAACTTCGGCTGTTTTTCCCAAATCCGCCCGTTTTCGCAATGAGATCCTAAGACCCGGCGGGGCTGCACTGCGCATGCGCGCTCTCACACCGCCCCTCCCACTCGTAAAGTGGGCGTGGTCTGACCCTCCCCGCCCGCATGCGCAGTGCGGGCACAACGAGCTCCTCCTTCCCGCCCCGCGCATGCGCAGTGGCGGCGGCAAGATGGCGGGCGGAGCGCGGCCGGGGATCGTGCTGGGCGCGATGGAGATGGGGCGGCGCGCGGGCCCTGAGGCGAGCTCCGCCATGTTGCGCGCCTTCCTGCGGCGCGGACACCGCCTGCTCGACACCGCCCACATGTACGCGGGCGGGGAGTCCGAGCGCATCCTCGGCACGCTGCTGGCCGGCGGGGAGCAGTCGGGTATGGGGCGGGTTGTGAGGGGAAAAGCGCGGTCTGTGGCGTTATGCGGGGGGAGGGGTCTCCCCACGGCCCTGAGGAGGAGGGAGTCCCTGATTGCTGAGGTAAAAGGGGCTCGTTTTGATGGGTTGATCCCTGATTCCTGAGGAGAAGGGCTCTCCCTGCTGGACTGAGGTGTTTGTGAGGTAAAGAGGACGTGGTGTGTATGGTAGAGCCCTGGTCCATGAGGAGAAAGGTCTGCCCGGTAAAGCTGGCATCTTCCTGAGGAGAAGGGCTCCATTTCCACGGTGGTCCCCATTTCCAGGGCAGTCTTCCTGAGCAATAGGGCCCGCTCTGCTCAGCTGACGTATTTCTGAGAAAATCAGACCTTGGTTTGCATTGCAGAACCCCTGATTTATGAGGAGACTGTTCCTCCCGCTATGCTGTTGTATTCTGAGGAAAAGGGGCCTCGGATTTTAGGGCAGATCCCAAGACCTCAAGGAGAAGTGTCTCCTCTGTTATCTTCACATAATCACAAATTGCCAGGGTTGGAAGGGACCTCAAGGATCACGAATCTCCAACCCCCCTGCTACATGCAGGGCCACCAACCTTCCCATCTAATGCTAGACCAGGCATTATCCTGAGGTATTTCTGAGGAAAAAGAGAGCCTGGTTTGTATGCAGATGCCCAATCCGTGAGGAGAAGGGCCTTCCTCTGCAGGCTGATGTATTTCTGAAGAAAAGAGCCTTTGATTTTTGGGCCAGACCCCCATCCCAAGGAGGAGGGTCCCTCTGATGATGTGTTTTCAAGAAGAACATGCTTTGAAAGCACCCTGAGCACACTGTGCCCCATTCCCCTCTGGAGCTGGGAGCATCGCTGCTCATTCCTCTTTCCCCTTTGCAGTGGAAGTGGCAACCAAGGCCAACCCTTGGGAAGGGAAGACACTGAAGCCAGAGAGTGTGCGGTCACAGCTGAACACATCCCTGGAGAGGCTGCAGAGGACGAGCGTTGAGCTCTTCTACCTCCATGCCCCCGACCATGGGACCCCAGTGGAGGAGACGCTGCGTGCCTGCAATGAGCTGCACAAGGAGGTAAAGCAGAGCTGAGGCTGCTTCTTGATTCCCTCCTGACACTTTTTCAGTGCTTGCTGTGCTCCTGTGCAGTGCAGGGTGTGTGTGGTGCTCTGGGGAAAGAGCCCAGGTGACCAGGGGAGTGCCAAGAGCTGCAGCACTGCTGCATGTTCACGTGATGCCCTTTGCTCTCAGGAGCATTGGAAAATGTTAGAACTGATGAACTTTGCTTTCTGCTGTGTTAATTGAGCCAGCTAATGTTATTCTCATGATGGGCAGAGAAGAATTCATCAACTGCATTAGTCTGAGAATTGAAACTAGAAGGTGTGAATTCAAAACATAAAATAAAGGTTATGTTTTTGTCAGGTGTTACATTGCAGTGGGGATCAACAGAGAACTCTGGGCTAAATTTCAGTGGTGTCCCCTTCACCATACACATTTTGCATTTCATAGGTATAAATACTGTTTTAAAAGCTGGATCTGAATGCCTTTTTATTCCTCTGCAGGGAAAGTTTAAAGAACTCGGCCTGTCAAACTATGCAGCGTGGGAGGTGGCAGAAATCTGCACCATCTGCAAATGCAACAACTGGCTGATGCCGACTGTGTACCAGGTGAGGTATGTGGGAGCCCTGTGCTCTGTGTTACAAACACAGGGGAGCTGCTGCAGTTAGCCCAGGGAGTCTTTCTGGGACATGGGTGGTTAGAAAGCTGGGTGAGATCACTTCCCAGAAAGAGCTGAGTGTGTGCTTCGTGCTTGAGTCAGTCACTCTCGTGATGGGGAACTGAAGTAATTATTGCATTGTTTGCAATCCTTTAGAAAGTCAGTTCCTAGCGAGTTAATCATGTTGTCTGACCTGAATCCACCCTTCTGGGTAAGAGAACTCAGGGAAGGGTGAGGAAGAGGCTGTCCCAGCTTCCTCAAAGCACCATTGATCAAGCACTCCTCCGCTATTAAAGGGAATCACATTTCTGAGGAGGAATTTTGCTGCTGCAGTTGTTTGTCTTGGTGAAACACTAAATGATTTTGCCAGGCTGTGCATCTGCTGCAAGGGCAGATCCCAAGATGCTAGGTTTTGTTTACAAGCAGCCAGTAAAATGAGAGGAAAAGTAGGATGAAGCATAGAAATGCATAACTCTACCCATTAACTGCACTGCTGGCAGGCGGGTTTGGGGTCACTGCTGGGTGACTCCCAGGTACCACCTGCTAAGCAGATCCAGGTCATGGTTTAGCAGTCAGGATCTGTGCTGGGAGGTCTGAGGGCATCCTGTGCTTTGTCTTTGTGCAGGGCATGTACAATGCAACCACCCGCCAGGTAGAGCTGGAGTTGTTCCCTTGTCTGAGACACTACGGGCTGCGCTTCTACGCCTACAATCCATTGGCTGGTATGGGGAGGTGTGATGGGAGGGATGTGGCTGTGGGTAACCAAAAGTAGGTGTGTGGCCACAGGGTTTGTTAAGGTGTCACCTGGATTGGAGATGCCTGGCTAGGTGTGGAGGCTTGGAGACAAGGTCGTGCCTTGTAGGGCAGTGTAAGAGCTGGTGCATTGCTAAACATGCTGCTGACACTTTGCAGGAGGGCTGCTGACTGGAAAGTACAAGTATGAGGACAAAGACACACGCCAGCCCACTGGAAGATTTTTTGGGAATGACTGGGCTCAAGCCTACAGGGACAGGTGTGTCCTGAGCTGATGAACAGGGAACTGGGGCTGCATTTAAACAAAACCATCCAAATCCTAATGATCAGCTGGGAGGGAGCAGAATGGACCCAAGCTCGCTCTGTGATTCTGCAGGCTCATGTCCTTTCTCAGTGGCTGCAGGGCAGCCTTCATGCTGCTGCCCCCAGGGTTGGGGATACTGAGCACCTCGCTTCCTCCTTTCAGAGGCAGTTGGGCTGTGCCTCGTGACTGAGCTTTGCAGAGCAGTTTTTAGGGTCAGCTTCCCCCTGCCTGGATTGCAGAAGCCTGGGGGCTACAAATAGCTGTACAAAGCTTTTCAAAGGCCTTTCACACTTGCTTGGAATATGGATTTATGATTCTCGAGGGCAGTGATGTTGATTTATTTATTTTTTTCTTCTTGCAGGTACTGGAAGAAGCACAACTTTGAAGGAATTGAACTAGTAGAAAAAGCTCTGAAAGATGCTTATGGTTCCAATGCACCAAGCCTGACCTCGGCCGCATTGCGTTGGTTGTACCACCACTCCAAGCTACAGGTCAGAGTTCAGCAGCATTCAGAGTTTGACTTGGGAGGCAAGCTGGGGTTATTTTGGAATGAATTATTCCCATTCTGGCTTCGCAGGGTTCTCTTGGAGACGCAGTGATCATTGGGATGTCCAACATGGAGCAGTTGGAGCAGAATTTGAACTACAGCGAGGAGGGCCCACTGCTTCCACCTGTAGTGGAGGCGTTTGACAAAGCCTGGAATCTGACTGCACATGACTGCCCCAACTACTTCCGCTAGAGAGTGGCAGAGGGAAGTGCAGGCAGCTGAGCAGCACGGAGCATAAATGTGAGGTACTCACCCACACCGCCCTCTGGGTGGCAGGCTGTAATTTGTCCTGTTAATGAAGCTTTGTAGGATCGGCCGTTCCCGTGCCTACATTTACCCCTGTCAGCACTACAGGTGTGGGGCCATGCCTTACACTTTCTCCCCTTGGGGACCTTTACCCAGCACATGCTGTGATTAAAAATGCACTTAATCAAGGGAAGTGGAGCACATAACTGAGTGAAGGTTTTAGTTCTGCTTTCAGTTAATAACGAATCTTCAGCGTGGATGAGAATAAACCATTTTTCTAATGCAGTCACTGTCTCTTAATAGCAGAGCTTTTAACCTGCTTTCCAGCTCAGAAATAAGCCTGAGCCAAAATGCCTGCAGAGCTAAAACTGACCCTAGTGAAGTAGAACTCTGGGGCAGGGCAGAGCTGGCTTCCCACGAGTTGTGGAGGCCAACTTGGGCCTGAAATGTATCTTCCATTCCTCAGATCCCAGCAGTACTCAATAACAGGCAGCACTGACAAAATCTGAGGGTTTTATATATGTTTTTATATAAAAAAAGTAGTTAGATCATCTTTAAGAATGTTGAGTTAATCACGTGTCCTGCTGCAGACAGGGAAGGAAAACATCCTCATCTTTCAGCTCTAAAATAGAGCTGTCTAGTGTCCAAGCACAAGGACTGCTGCTAGTCCTCACTGATGTCAACGTCCTCCTCTTCTTCCTCCTCTTCCTTTTCTTCCTCCTCATCCTCCTCATCTCCCACAAGTTTCTGGAAGTCTCCAGTCTCAGAATTCCACAGGAATTTGATGGTCACTTTGAACTCTGCCATCTCGTAGCCAAAGAGTTTCTAGGAAAGGACACAGACTTGTCATCCCACCTCGTTATCCCCATGGCCAGGCTAACGATACAGATATTAGATAAGCTGATTGTGAGAATCATGCAGAACAGTGCATTTCCCTGTGGCAGTGACTGTGCCTGCAGGGCTGTGTTCCATTGCTCACCAGGACACGTGCTTGCTCGGGGGTCAGAATGTCCCCTTCTTTGCAGACTTCATAATCTGAAAGCAGCGTCACCACTCCTGAGGGAACAAAAGCTCTTGAAACAGGCTAAGAAAACCCCACATCTGGCTTCTCAGTGGAACTGTTTGCACTGCAGAAGGAGAGCACAAGGCTGGCTTCCTTCCTTCCTGTGACAGCAGTCAGGGAAGGCTGGCACAACAGGAAGAAAATAAGGCTTTGAGCACCAGCTTTTCTCCAAAAAAGTCCCAAGTCTCAGTCCCAAGTGCCTATACAATGTTCTCCCTAAAAGATGTTGCACAGACTCGGAACAGAAGGGAAGCAGCTCCCTTACATACCTTTCTTTAAAGCTGTTGGCAATCCCAGCTGTCGCAGCTGAGGCTCCATGGAATGGGGGAACTGCTCCAAGGGCCCCGTGTCCAGGCTGACGGTGTAAGTCGCCTTGTTCCCTGCCCTTGCAAAGTCCACCTCCTTGAAGCTGGAGAACCACCTGAGGCAGATTGGCAGACAGAGCTGCAGAAATGGGGGCATTTTTTGACAGAGCAGAACAAGAGGGTGCTGAGCTGCGGGCTTTGTACTGCATTCTGCTGATGGAAATGCCCAGAGGACCTGGGGTGCATCTCAGGGTTGTGCTGATCAGAGCAGCGGTGAGGGAAGGAGCAGCCTGTGTGTGTTTCAGGCTGAGCTGTGACAGGGGCTGCACACACATACTTACTCATCCACCTCCTCCTTGGTGCGATTGGTGAAGAGGAGACCAACCTCCCCCCTCAGGTGCTTGCTGACCTGCGAGACAGGAGCACAGAGGTGCTGAGGCAGCACTGGCACTTAGAGTTTAGGCTGGAAAAGACCTTCACGACCACCCCAACCCACCACATCCTGCAGTGCCACACCTACAGCTGTGCCCATTCTGTTTCCAACTGAGACCCCCCACCTTATGCAGGTTCTCCCGATATTCGCTGCTCGGCTCCCGGCCCAGCGCCACCATCATCACTTTGTTCTTCCCGAAGAAGATCCTACAATGCAAAGAAGAGGAAGATGATGAAGACCAGAAGGCTGCGAGGCCAGTATTGTCTCACTCTCCTCACCTCCCAGCCCTGCGCTCACCGGCTGTGCTTCCAGGCGTTCCGCACGTCCTTCAGCTTGTTGTTCCTCATGTTGGCCACGGAGAAGATGAAGATGTGTTTGTAGGTATCGACGCATCGCCGCAGCTGCACGACAGCGGTTAGCGGGGCCGGGGGGAGCGGGGGGGGGAGCGGGGCAGCACGACTCACCTCAGCGATCAGCGCCTGCTTGGCTTCCAAACCCTTCCTGGGTGTCCGTGTCAGGGACACTGCGGGGAGCGGAGCGGGGGGATGCGGTTAAAGAGGGAAGGGAAGGGAAGGGAAGGGAAGGGAAGGGAAGGGAAGGGAAGGGAAGGGAAGGGATACGGGCTGCCGCGCTCACCCTTGCGATCCCGCTTGGACTTCGGCATGGCGCCGCCGTGCTTCGAGGCCCCCGGGCGCCGCGGGGGCTGCCGGGATGTTGCGGGCTGCCCCGCGCGGTGCCTGAGCGCAGCCGCGCGCCGCTCACTGTCGAATTCCGTTCAGGCAGCGCGCAGGGCAGCCCCGTGAGACGCGAGGCCCCCGGAGCTCAGCGCGGGGCACGACGGGAGCGCTGCCATGGCGGCGGGGCTGTGGGTGCTGCTGTTGCCGCTGGCGGCTGCCGTGTACGAGGACCAAGTGGGGAAGTTCGACTGGTGAGTGCCGGGCCGATAGCACGGGCTTCTTTCTTCCCGCTGCTCGCTCCCGTCTCACGCTGCCCGTCCCCGCAGGAGGCAGCAGTACGTGGGGAAGCTGAAGTTCGCCTCTCTGGAGGCCGCGCAGGGCTCCAAGAAGCTGCTGGTGGGCACGGAGAAGAACGTGGTGGCAGCGCTCAACTCCCGCAGCGGCGAAATCCGTGAGTGGGGCGGGAGGGGGCCGGGCACGGGGTGCTCGGGTTGGGCCTGTGGTGCTGCTGAGGGCGGCTGCTCCTGCAGCTGCAGTCTGCTGTTGAGTTGTTTGAGTTGGAAAAGAGCTCCAGGATCCTCCAACCCAGCCGACTGTGCTGCTGCCCTCAGTGCCACATCTCCGTGCTGAATATCTGCAGGGATGGTGACCCCACGCCTCCCTGTGCAGCTGTGTCAGCACATCACTGCTATTTCAGAGCAGAGATTGTCCTTGAAATCCAACCTGCACCTCCCACAACGTGCAGTGAGGATACGGCTCTTTGGGAAGTCCTGAGGCTGTGGGTTTGAGAGCAGTAACCAACAGCTTCGTTGTGCCCACCTGCTTCTCACTTTCTGTGTCTCTCAGTGTGGCGCCATGCAGATAAAGCCACCCCTGAAGGAGCGATCGACGCGATGCTGATCCACGGGCAGGGTGAGAAAATCACAGCAGCAGCACACGGGAGCTGTCCTGCTGCCAGAGCTCCTGGCTCTGCTGCCCCGTGCTGGGCGCAGGTTCTGGGTTCACCTCCCCTTTGCTCTCTGTGCAGATGCCATCACTGTATCCAGCGCTGGGCGCATCCTGCGTTCCTGGGAGACCAACATTGGAGGGCTGAACTGGGAGACGTCGCTGGACACGGGCAGGTGGTGTTGGTTGGGGCTCTCTCCCATCTTTGTTACAGGGATAAGTTAGCATTAAGTTAGCAAGCTTAACATACCTGGACTACAGTACAACAGTTGGGAGATTAGACTCTGAAAATCTGGATGTTGTGAGAGCAGCTGGTTGGTGGTTGCATCCAGGGCTCTGTTAACTTCCAGGGATGAGAATGTGGTCTTTGGGTGTCTTGCATGCGTAGATGATAATACAGCTGTAGGTAATACAGCTATTAAATGTCCAGAAAAAGGAAAAACTCACCCTGTTTGATAACCTGCAGATAAGTCTCTAATTTATCATGTCTGACTTGTGCTTAGTTTCCAGACCGCGAGTCTGGTGGGGCTGCAGGATGCAGTGAAGTATGTGGCAGTGCTGAAGAAGGCAGCCATCTCCCTGCACTACCTGTCCAATGGGCACCAGAAGTGGGTAGAACATCTGCCAGAAAGGTGAGAATGTATTTGAAGCAGAAGCAGAAATTTCAGATTCAGATCCTGAATCCTGAGGAAAAGATGCTGCAGTTCTCTCATGTTCTTGAAAACCTTTGGTAGCAATAACATGAGAAAACAATGCTTTATGACCTTTGTTTCTCTCACAGTGAGAATACTCAGTACCAGATGTTATATTCCCGTGGGGCTGGAGTCATCCACGTGCTTGGAGTTGTCCCCCAGAGCCACTTGAAGGTTTTAACGCTCAGCGTGGAGGATGGAGAGGTCATAGAACAGGTAGTGCTCGATTATGGATCCAAAATAGCAAATTTGATATGAACAAACACAGTGTGTGGAATTGTGTCAGTAAGTTCATTCTTTGAAGACAGTTTTGCTGTTGGCGTCTTCATCTCTTGATGTCTCTCTTGGCAGACCAAAGTAGCAGCCCCATGGCTGAAGAGCTTAAATGGAGCCTGCGGTGTGGTGGGGGAAGCAGTGTTGGTGTGTGCAGACACAGCCACGCATTCACTCTATGTTTGCTCCTTGGAGATGGAGCAGGAGATGAAGCAGATCCCGCTGCAGGTGAGCAGTGCTGAGAGACTTCATATGCACTTATCCAGCTGATTTGGTGCCTAACTGCACCTTGGAGGATAGGGGTTCTCCTGCAGGTAACTTGCACAGTGACTGAGGAGGTGCTGGGGGCAACGTGATCCATAAGTAAGAGGGAGAAAACTGTGTGTTGTGTCTTAAGTCAATTTGTCTGGATTGGTGTTGCCAGAGCCTTGCTTCAACAGCAGTCCAGGTCTTATTGCTTTTGCTCTTTGTTTTTCATGATGCACGTAACTTCTTCACAAAAGTGTCTGTTGCTGCTGATAAAAGGAAGCTATTAGTTTCATGGCAGAAGAAGTTTTCATGAATGCACGTGCTTGTCTTCTTTCCACAGTCACTTGACCTGGAGTTTGCTGATGGCTTCCAGCCCAGGATATTGGCTACTCAGCCCAGCGTGATCAACGCTTCGCGGACTCAGTTCTTCCTGCAGCTGTCTCCAGGTCACTTCTCTCTGCTGCAGTGCAAACAGGGGCTGCTCAGCCACCTGCGAGACTTCCAGCAGGTAACCAGGAAAAAGGCATTCCACTGAGAGGGCCAACAGAGCTTAACATTCCTTACAACAGTCAAACATCCCTTCTGTGTTCCAAGCAAGTGTTCTGAGCAAGCTGCTGAATTTCTCTTTTCTTGTGCTCTCTGCTGCAACATTTGGAAAGCATTTGGTTTTATTTATATCATCTGCTGACACATTTCCAAGCATTTGTTTAGTTGTCCTTTGTTGGTGACAGCTATCCTGGGTTTCGGGTGAATGGTCACTGTCTTTGAGGAATGTTTTCAGCTTCAGAGAGATTTTTTTGTCAGACAACACAAAACTTGGCCATGAAATCATCTTTTGTTAGTTGCAGTCTGGATTAATTTGCTACACAGGTAGTTTTTTTATTGTGTTATATGACTTACTGCTGCTTTTGTTTGTTTGTTTAAGGCAGCTCTGGTGAGCTTTGCAACAACTGGGGAAAAGACTGTTGCTGCTGTGCTGACCTGTAGGAACGAACTGGTGGGTACAGCTTGTCAGAACTGTGTTTAGCACAGCTCTGTGATCTGAACGTGCCTTGGGTGTGGGTTCCACACTTATATTCCTTTTCAGGCCTGGATGATGAGTAACTTGGGAATGAGTGAGATTTAACGATCTTTTCAGGCCTAAGAAGTCAATGGTAATGCATGCAGATCTTGGTTACAGCCAGATAAAGCTCACCTTGTCTGAACTGTTGGTGTGTAATGTAGAAGTCCACTTTACTGATCTGCAGTGGATTTCAGTTCTTATGGGCACCGAGTTGAGCACAGCCTCATTTTTAGCAGAACTATCTGCTATTTTCAGAGCCAACCTGAGACTTTTCAAGCACACAAAGCAATGTATTTATCCTACTCTCATGGGTGTGTCAAACCATGTTACCTTTTGTCTTCCTCATTTTAGAAACCTGGAAGTTCTGATGGCCTTCATGGAAGTGCTCTGGAGGATTCCCAGAAACAAGTATGAGGGGGATCGTTCCCATATGCAGTAGAAGTTCTTGACAGTCCCTTTCCTTCCTTTGCTTGTGGGAACATAGAACATAAAAGATTTTAAAGCTTGGTTTTGGAGGCTGATGTTTCACACCAGCTCCAGATAAATAATCTAAAAACATTTTGAAGCCATAGTTCTTGCTCACATGAGATTCTGCTGCAGAATTTGGCGTGACAGGTAAATTTATCTCAGCATTTTTTGTACGATGTTACAGGAATCCTTAACCTGTTCCAATCAAACCTACAACATCAATCTCTATCTGGTTGAAACTGGACAAAGATTGCTGGATACCACGATTACCTTTAACCTGGAGCAGAACGGTGCCAAGCCAGAGCAGGTGAGTGGGAAAAGATTACTGCAATCCTGTGATTTGTGGGGCTTGCAATGCCCTTCATACCCTGATTTGGCATCATTTGTAGAGCTGTTGAGATCAGGTGAGAAGATTACTGCATGCAGCTATCCTGTTTGCTCTTATTTCACCTGAGAGTTCACTGTTATCCAAGCAGACGGTGTGATCACAAACCTGACTGTTTGGCTTACTCTTTTTCTTTTTCCTTCAGCTCTACATCCAGGTTTTCCTGAAGAAGGATGACTCGGTGGGCTACCGAGCCTTGGTGCAAACAGAAGACCACATGCTGCTGTTCCTCCAGCAGCCAGGTGATTGGCACAAACAGAAAACCTGGCCTAGGTTTTAGCAGCAACCTTCTTGTTCTGGATGAGAAGAAAACTCCAGTGCTGTAGAACCCAGGCCCCATATTTTAGGATTGCTTTCTTTGGAAACTGATGTGCTGTGGAACTGATGGACTGAACTGATGTGCAGTCTTGCATCATCTTTCACCCTCAAAAGATATCAAGATATCTCAGCTGAGAAACTGTTCTGCCGTGCTCTTTGTACAGGGAGAGCCTATCAATTTTGTAGTGTTTTATTTTTAGTTTAGGGTTTTTTTGAGGGGTTGGGTGGCAGAGATTTCAAACATCTTACCATAGGGTGAGTCTAAGCCATGTTTTAGATCTTGATGTTTCTGCAGAAAAAAATCCTCGTGGCAGATAACACATATTTGCAGAAAGGGTTGGAGGTCCATCTCAGTGATGTGAACGTTCTAGGGTTTATATCCTTATATTTCATTTTGATTTTTCCAATATCCTGTACTTGTTTTTTGTACCAGGAAAGGTTGTGTGGAGCAGAGAGGAGTCGCTGGCAGAAGTGGTGAGCTTGGAGATGGTGGACCTGCCTCTGACGGGTGCACAGGCTGAGTTGGAGGGAGAATTTGGGAAGAAGGCAGGTAAGCCATAGACTAGTGGAATCATCCTTAAGCGTATGAGTCTGTTTGTTTTTCTCTCTGAAGAAGTATATCAATTTCTTTTTCCTCTGAACTGAGAGTTAAGATTCAAATTTTCACTCCT